CCATGCCCTTGGGGAGGTATGGCTTATCTCCCTGGTTTTCATGCTCTTTTTGCTGTTGTGTGAAGATTTGACTTCTCTTTCTGTCTGGTGCAGGGATTTTGAAGAACCGTCTCCAGTACCCACCGACCCTCCAGGGCCTGCCATCCGTTGGCAGGATGACCAACGAGCTGACGTGGTATAAGACCTCCACGCTGGGTCACAGGGCTGTCCCTGCTGCCTCCTACGGCAGGATCTACTCTGGAGCCGGCAGTCTGTCGCAGCCAGCCAGCCGGTACTCATCACGGGAGCAGCTTGACATGCTGATGAGGAGACAGATGTCCCGGGAGCAGCTGAGCAGGCACAACTCAGGAGAGTGCTTGGAAGCTGTGCCCAGTCGGCATGGGTCCAGGGAGGAGTTGGACACTATCCCCAGCAGGCATGGGTCTACTGAACACCTGGAAAGTATCCCAAGCAGGCACGCATCGAGGGAAAACTTGGATCTACTCGCTGCTAGGCCCAGTCAGAGAGATCATGGGAACACGCTGCCCCGGAGACAGGGCTCCAGAGACTGCCTTGATACTTTGCCCTGCAGATTTGGGTCAAGAGAGCAGCTAGACTGTGGGCCAGTAAGAGAAGTCTCTAGAGAGTGGCTTAACACATTGCCAAGTAGGCAAGTGTCCAGAGACCGAATAGACATGTTACCAAGTCGAGATACTTCTCGAGAACAATTGGATTTACTTTCTAGAAAACAGCCTTCAAGGGACCTGCTAGCATCAGCTAGACAAGCTTCAAGGGAGCAGCTGGACTTTCTATCCAGAAGATCTAATTCCAGAGAGCCTCTGGACACAGTGCCTAGCAGGCAGCCCTCACAGGACAACCTGGGGAGTCTCTCTCGGAGGCAGCTGTCTAGGGAAAGCCTAGAGCCGCTGTCGAGGAGACATCCTTCTAGGGACAACCTGGAGGCCATTCCCAGCCGACATCCTTCCACTGAACAGTTAGATATCCTTTCTTCCATCCTTGCTTCTTTTAACTCCTCCGTCCTGTCCTCAGTGCAATCTTCCAGCACGCCTTCAGGCCCCCAGACCACTGCCACCCCCTCTGCCTTGCAGACCTCGACGCCCTCCGCAGCGTGTCCCTCGACGCCTCGCTCTGCCACCTCCCACAGCATTTCGGAGCTGTCACCAGACTCAGAGTAAGTGTGTTCCTTCCTTCCTCAGCCAGCTCTTGTTCAGCTGATCTTGTGCATTGTCCACCTGCCCGGCTTCTTCCTGAGGGGAGTTTGGTTTTGAGGGAGAGGGCGGTGTAGGGGTGAGCCCCCAGGGTGAGCAGCAGGTGTCTCCTGGTCCTGAACAGTGACTGGGCAGGGAGAGGCTTCAAGTGTGACAGCTCTGGGTGCTTGCAGTGCAACACGGGCAGGAACATCTGTGTATGTGAGTCTGCCCGCTCTGCCAGAGACAATGGCCCTTGCCTGTGGCCCGTGGGGACTTGGGGACGATGCTCTGTGCAGCCAGGCTGACCTCATGGCTGGTCCCCTTGGTCAGCACTGGCTCTAAGTCCCAGTGGGCAGATGTATGCAAGGGCCAGGCTGGCTGGAGAGGAGGGAGCCCAAATCCTAGGGGAGCTCTGCCTGCCTCAGCCATGTTTCTCCCCAGGGACTCTGTCCCAGTCTGTCATTTCTTCCCCTCCAGTTCTGCTCCCTGCTGGTACTGCTGCTACCACACCCCACTCCACCTCATCCCTGCTTTCTGTCCCTGGACTCAGGGACTTGGATACAATTACTCCTTCCCTGACATGGGAGTGGGTTTCTGCCCTGTCCCCATCTGGCCTAGCAGGGGAAGGATGCTGGAGCCCAGGAGAGATACCATGTCTTAACGCTGTTTTTCTTTCCTCTGAGAAGAATAATGAGAAATGAGGGCCATTCCTGAGGGGCCGAAGTTGTCCAGAAGAGAGATGGAAGAAGCAGAGCCCTTCGCTAGGCACTGCCAGCCAAGGTTTGGTGTCCCCAGGGGGCAGGGGCCAGAACTGATGGTGGTCAGAGGCCCAAAACCAACCCTGCCTTCCCCTGCCCTGTGGGCTGAGGGGCCGGCAGCCCACGCCACCCACTGCCAGGAACCTCCAGGCTCTCAACTGCTGCTGTGCTCCCCGTCACCTGCCCGGTGTGACAGGTAGTGCTGGGCAAGGGTGGCAACTCCAGCCTGCCGGGGCTGAGCTCTTTCTCTGCGAGCTGTTTGTGCGTGGGGTGTACGTGTGTGTGTGCGGAGGGTGGGCAGTGGCAGAGGGACAGAGATGGAGCCCAGGACATGGGAGCAGGGGAGGGTTTTCTACCTTTTTGTATCTTTGTAATCAGAGAGAAAAGAAATTTCTATGGTTATTTTTACGGATGGTCTGTTCCCAGGACCTGGAGCATTTGTTTCACCAACAGCCCTTTGCCAGCTTCCCTGGGGCTATGAGGACCACAGTCCCTGTGGACTGGAGAGACAGTGCCAGGTGATCCTTAAGTCTTTGTTGGCACTACTTTGTCCAAGCCCCATTGCAGGACAGCCGGCCCTGCTGCCTCCCACCCTCCCACTGTGCAGCTCCACACGTGTCTTGCCACCCTCCTGCCTGGTGACCCTCAGCCCCGTGCAGCCAGGCCTCCCTCTGCCCTCCTGTGGGACCCTCCCCCTTGGGGCTGCCCCACCTCGGTGAGGGGCTGTGTGCCAGTGAGAGCACAAACAAATAGGGCAGCAAATTCAGGAGCAGGGACCTGCTGGGGAGGAGACAAGCTTTGCTGTGCCGCCCTGTCCTGTACCAGGATGGTCCCAGTCTCGTCAATGCTGGTTTCCTCTGTTCAACAGGGGAGCACTGTGTTTTTACCCACTGGGTGTTGTGCTCTTTCACCTGGATGTTTCAGAGAAATTCTCTGTTAGTTTGTGAGTCCAGGCAAGGAGCTGGATGACCCTCGTCCTGCTCAGCAGCAGGCTAGGCTGTTCCCAGAGCCAGTGTTCTCTCTGTGGAGGACTAGCGTCCACAGGAGCATGATGTGCTGGACCCCAGTCTCGGGGTCCAGCATTGCCCACAAAAGTTGTATCTAGCTGGATCCCTGGGAGCTCTGCATATATCTGCTATCCTCTGACTAGCAGAGGACCCCAACTCAGAGTGGCCTGGATTTTGGGAAATGGAGATAAACAGCACTTTGCCCTCTCTGGAAATTCAGGTTGCCCTGATGGTGTCTCTGCTCAGCCTGGGGCCTGGCCTGGGGCTCCTACTGGCCCTGCTGTGAAGTAACACCCCTCTGTGCCTACCCCAGCCTCGGGCCAGGGCATTTGGCTTGGGGGACTGGCGTGCTCCGTCTCACTGGCCGAGCGTGGTGCTTCTGCTCGGCTGCCCTGTGGTGCTCCTGGGGCTGTGTGACCGTGTGCCCCTTACTGCCTTACTGCCACACTGCCATAGCATCTTACTGTAGCCCAGCCCAACATGTTTACAGAAGAGGACTTGTGCTGCTGTCCTCCAGGCCCCTGGGGAGGCCAAGGCCTCTTGGCTACATGCCAGAGTCAGTGGGAAGAGTGTGAAGGGAACAGAAGGGTTGGTGACTGGGGTGCCGTGGGCCCCCCAGCACAGCCCTGATGAGGCAGGCTCTCTGTTTTCCCAGGGATGAGGACAGCAGGGCCTGCTGACATGTTTACATGCCATTCGGGACCAGTGTGCAGAGGGAAAGCCTGCTGGCCCCACATACTGGGAACAGCCAGGCCCCTCCATGCTGCCCATCTTTGCCTTTGGGAACAAGCTCGTTTACATGTTTCTCTCCAGCTGTGCAGTACCAGCACCAGAGTCTTGGGATTCCCTCCCTATGGTGCTGTAGGGCCCGTGTTTCTGCTAAGTTGGGCGTGGGGCTCTTAATGCTGGTGCCAAATGGAGAGCAAGTGACAAGTGCCAAAAAGAAGAAGAGAGCAGCAGATCCAGTGGCTGTCCCTGCAGACCTGGGCCGGTCAAGAAGCAGGAGTCTACTTCTTGCAGACCAGTCTTTGGCTTGGTCTCTGATTGTAGTGCTGTGACCTGGGCTCTGGGGAGCATCCTCCTTGGGTTTGGGTTTTTTCCTTTGTGGGGTTTGGTTGGGTTTCTTTTCCTCTCTTTGTCTCCCGATTCTGTTGGCAGGGAGCGGGGAGATGCCCGTGCCCCCTCTCCGGCTGTGTAAAAGTGTATCATGGAAGCGCCAGATTTGGAAATAAAAGTCTATAAAATGGTACTGGCCTCTCTGCCCTCTCTCCCTGTGCAGTGGATCTGTGGATGGGGCTATGGGTGCAGCGCTGGGGCTTGAGATGATGGTGGGAGGAGGCTTGGGCAGGAGCTCCCAGCCAGCTCGTAGGCTGAAGGGGCGTCACTGAGGACAGGGTGAGGTGACCAGGGGACAGGGACTTCAGGGGCTGTCAGTTGCTTGAACTGGGCTGTGTCCAGGCTGGTTCAGCCAGAGCTGGGATTGGCTGCAGTGGTGGCCAGTGGTCCCAGCACTGCCGGCAGGGCTGTGGTGCCACAGTGACTGGTTAGCCGTGGGGCGGGTGCCTGGCAGCAGCTGGCACACCCAACCGGACCTAGAACAAAGGAAGAAGATCCACTGTCCAAAGGCTGCCTGACCTCAATGGTGTCAAGCTGGCTTCCAGTAAGGAGAAGGAAGTGTGTGGAGCAGAGGCCAAGCATGATCCCGATGCCCTCCATCCCTCCCTTCCTGTTGAGGAAAGAGCAGGAGATCAAAGGTCAGCATTGATCCCCAGCACTCTGAGCAAGGGTCACCATCAATTGTCATCCCTCTGTTCTTCCCGGGCTCCATCCCCTAAGCAGTTGGGGGCCAGCTCAGGGTGACCCTTGGAAGTTGTAGTGGCAGTGCTGGGAGCTGTGGTCCTGTCCTGCAGCCCTTCTTGAAGCTGGCAGGGGGGTGAGGGGCAGGGAGAGCTGGATGGGGGCTGGGGTGGCAAGGGGGAGTCACAGGCAGAGTGGCCAGCCCGGGGTGCACGTCAGGGGCTGGAGGCAGGGATGTGGGAAGGAATGTCATGGGTGGGGACAAGGAGCAGTGATAAGGAGGCAGTAAATGACACCCCGTGCTATTTGCTTCCGAGCAGGAGCCCTGGGATGGCCTCTGATTTCCTGCTGGGTGAGTGAATAAACAATGAGGAGGCAACAGTCACATGGTGCTTGTGTCAGCATCATTGTGCCTTTACCTGGTCACGGTGGGACTGATGGGCATGTGGGTGGACAGCAGGGGCCAGGGATGTGGGAGAGGCTGAGGGAGCAGGCTCAGCCCCACTACCTGAAAGGTGTAGGGCTGCTGTGGGATGTGGGTCATGCTCACCATAGGGAGAGCCAGGGTGGCCGTGGGTTACCCTACACCAGGGAGGCGGACAAGTTGCTCCAACTCTGGAAATTGTGGCCCTGGATGTCACCCCTTACTCCACTCACCAGCCCTATCCCACCACCCAGGGAACCCAGTACTCTTTGATGCCTGGCCCTGCCCGCTGCCTTCACCCCACACCCTAGTACCAGTCAGCTATGGGTGCCTGGATTTTCACAGTCGTGCCCCTATGGGACCAGGTCAAGCATGACTCAGACATTCTCTGAAACCAATTCTAGGTCATGATGGAGCCCAGGAAGGAATGATGGGTTCAGTGGGACTCTGGTGCCCGCTGGGGACCTTTGGAACAAGATAACGGCTAGGTCTGTTTAAATTGTTGGAGAGTGGGGCAGTCCACAGGGCACAGCACACCTCTTCCAAGCAAGGTAAGTGAGGGGCTGTGGAAAATACTCTGGATGCCATGACCTGAGGCTATGGGTAGCCCTCCTCGTCCTCGGCACAGCTCCTGCTCCAGGACAGGGCTGGGGAAGGGACACCCATGGGAGCTGTGGGGGCACAGGAGGGTGATGGCAGGACCTTGGGCAGTGCCTTGGGGTGGTAAGTGCCCAGCACCAGCTCTTTGCAGGAGGTTGGCACCAGGATGTGCCCAGCAGCAAGACCACTGCCCTGTCCCTTCCATGGGTGGTTGGGCATGGCAGCACCTGGGTATGGCTGCAGACCAGGAACTGAGACTGGAATGGACAGTCCCCAGTATGGGATGGTTCTGGGGAGAGTGGTGACAGCTCTGGGCCTGCCACAGCTGAGGAACTCAGCACATCAGGGCATGGAGGGGAGTGAGGTGGGTGCTGTGGGTGCAGCAGTGGGGCTGGGAAGCAGGCAGCTTCTCGGCAGGACAGGAGGAAGGACAGGAGGCAGGGAGCGGTGTTTCAAAGATCACGGGCTGGCTTTAATAAATAGGAGGAAGCAGAGAAGAGCGTGCACCTACCTGCCTGGCAGCTCCTGACCAACTTGGGCACAGCAGGTAGGAGTGATAACAGGGGTCAACACAGGGACTCGGGCTGGCACAACCCCAGGCACCCTGTGAGGGGATGTGGGTCCAGCTGCACCTCAGGACCAGGCAGGCCACCAGCTGGGTGAGCCCAGCAGGATGGTGCAGCTCTCAGACTGAGCCCTAAGACCAGGCTGTGGATCTAGAGGGAGAAGCCTCGGTCCCACTATCCCAGCCCTGTGAAGGGTGAAACCTCAGCCCAGCCTCCCTCCTCTGACCACAGGCTCACCCCAGCTCTGCAGTGCAGCGGTCAGGGGAGGGCACTGTCGGAGGGATGGGAAGCTGTGACATTTGCTGGGGGGTTCACATTCCTGCTCCCCTCATGCGTAAAGGGACAAAGTCTGCAGATGGGGCTGTGGGATGGCCAGGGCTCTGCTCGGCAGCTGTGCCCTGCCCTGCTGCGGTACACGGAGGGGAAGAGGGGTTGGCACTGAGGTGGGTCCTGCACGCGCAGGCAGAGGGGGAGCCCCCCGGGGCAGCTCTGCTGGCAGACCCCACCTGTGCACTGCAGTGGGGCAGAGGGGGCTGGTGCAGGGCAGGAGTGGGCAGCACTGATTGCTGAAGCCTCAGCTCCCTCCCTGCCCACCTGCCCTTGTGAGCCACTGGCACTGCTTCAGGACTCCCAAAACTTGGCTCATGCTTATTCTCAGGGCCAATCCTGCTTGCCTGGCTGGGATGGGATGGCTCTGTGGGGCAAGTGGAGCTGGAGGAGGGGCTGGGGGGCGTGTAGGGTGTTGTGTGTCTCCAGCTGTGGGGACATAGCTGAGCTGTCCCTGATGTCCCTGCAGTGGACTGGCATGCAGGAAGGTCAGGTGGGCATGGCGGCAGAGATGGCACTGAGCCACCGAGCACCCCGTGAGGTGCTGAGTGAGGCTGAACTGGAGGAGGTGGCGCAGAGGAAGCCTCCCACTAAGGGCTCGATTGGTCTCCGCAAGATCAGGTAGGACCATATGGCCAGGGGCATGTGCCTGGACCTCACCAGGCACTGTGCACCCCAGCCCCACCATCACGAGGAGCTGCAGACCTGGGGATCCTTTCCCCTAAACCCAAGCACCCATGTCCCTACTTCATTCTCCTGACTGGAGGGACACTTGGCTCTAATGGATGGAGCTGGGTGTCCCATGGGACCCATTGCTTCTTATGGGGCCCTGTCTACCCCTACTGATGTCCCCAAGCCCCTGCACTTGTGCTCAGCTTCAGCTTCTACTCCTTTCCCCCCAGATGCACGGGCTCCGCTGCCAAGTCCCTGCTGTTCCGTTTCCTGCCCTTCCTGCACTGGCTGCCTCGCTACCCAGTCAAGGACTGGCTCCTGGGGGACATTATTTCAGGCTTCAGTGTGGGCATCATGCACCTGCCCCAGGGTGAGTAATCCTATGCTCAGGCTTCCAGGGGCTCCCTGAGGGTTGAGGGGAGGGCAGGAGTTGGCCCTTCATGACATTTCTCCCTGCTCCACCATCCAGGTCTTGCCTATGCGCTGCTGGCTGGGTTGCCACCTGTCACCGGTCTCTACTCCTCCTTTTACCCTGTCTTCCTCTACTTCTTCTTCGGGACATCAAGGCACAACTCCGTGGGTGAGCTGAGGGACCACGTGCTTGCACAGCAACGGTGGGGAGGGAGCGAGGATGAGAGGGACAAGCCTTCATCCATGGCACAGCATTGCCACATGAATGGTTGAGGGCGGACCTTTCTTGCCTTTTCCCCACCCAGAAGGTGATTGGCCAAACCGGAGCCAAAGCACAGTGGGTGGGCTTTGAGCCTCGCCCAAGGATGAAAGGAGCTGACCCCTTAAGAGGTGCCCTCAAAGAGGTCCTGGTGCTCACCTTGGACTCCCTGCCCACACTCTACGTGTCCCCAGGTCCTTTTGCCGTCATCTCCGTCATGATTGGGAGCTTGACGGAGTCCCTGCTGCCTAGTGAGAACTTCGTGGAGTCTGTCAATGGCAGCAATGCCACGGTCAATGAGGCATTGCGGGACGCTGCCAGGGTGGAGCTGGTCGCCACCATCACTGTCCTTACAGGCATCTTCCAGGTAAGGTGGCCCCAGCCTAGCCTAGCAGAGAACAGGAAGCTGTAAGCTGTGGGTCACTTCTGGTGCCTCTCCTTTCAGGTGGCCCTGGGTCTCCTGCAGTTTGGATTTGTGGTGACCTACCTCTCGGACCCATTGGTGCGTGGCTACACCACTGCTGCCTCCGTGCATGTCCTCATCTCCCAGCTCAAGAATGTATTCGGGATCTCCATAGGCGAGCACTCGGGGCCACTTTCATTGTTTGTGGTGAGTGGGGGCTCACTGCTGCCCAGGACACCCTGGGGGATCACCTGTGGGGTGAGGCCCCCATAAACCTTCTGGGGGAGGCATCTGATTTCCTGAACACATTCCCTCCTTCTGTATCCTCTAGACTTTCATTGAGATCTGCAAGAAGCTGCCAGACACCAATGTGGGCACCCTGGTGACCGCCATCATTGCCATGGTGGCCATCTTCATTGTGAAACAGCTCAACCACAAGTTTGCCGCCAAGCTTCCCATGCCCATCCCCATCGAGCTTGTCACGGTACACAGAGCTGCCCCAGCTCGCTGTGGGGATGCAGACATGCGTGTCCCTGTCCCTTCCAGGGAGGGGAGGCATGGGATGGAGTTCCTTGGCAAGTGCAGCTCCAGGGCACATGTCATGCCCTCCACCACAGTCCCTGTGCAGGAAGGCCCTGCCTCACTCCAGTCATTCTCCCCCAGATCATCGTCTCCACCGGCATCTCCTACGGCGTCAACCTGAATGACAAGTTTGACATCTCCGTGGTGGGCACCATCCCCAGCGGGTGAGCAGGGCCAAGTGGTGGCAGGGGCTGGGCAGGGACACCGTGCCCCCCACAGCACCCCTCTCTGAGCCACATGTCTCTGTCCTGAATGTAGGTTGAAGCCACCTGTGGTCCCTAATGTCAGCTACTTTGGGCAGGTGGCAGGCAATGCCTTTGCCATTGCCGTGGTCGGCTATGCCATCTGCATCTCCCTGGGCAAGATCTTTGCCCTGAAGCATGGCTACAAAGTGGACAGCAACCAGGTGATGCTCTGAGGCGCAGGGCCCCTGCCCTGGATGAAAGCCAAGCTTGCCCTTGCAGTCAAAGGAAAGAATGGTGCTGCCCTGCTGCTGCTCTGTCCCTGCAGGAGCTGATTGCGCTGGGCCTCTGCAACTTCCTGGGAGGCTTCTTCCAGTGTTTTGCCATCAGCTGTTCCATGTCGCGGAGCCTGGTACAGGAGACCACGGGTGGCAACAGTCAGGTGGGTCCAGGCAGCGCTGCCTCCCTCAGTGGGGCTGGAGCAGGGGCAGGCAGCACAGCCAGCAGTGGGGGCTCCCCCCTCACCTCCCACTCTCCTTCCACACAGGTAGCTGGTGTCATTGCATCCCTGGTCATCCTGGTGACCATCCTGAAGATTGGAGAGCTCTTCTATGACCTGCCCAAGGTACATCTAGTCCCACGGCCTCTTTGCCACATCCCACCCCTGTGCCCATCCCACGGCATGGCAGTGTGGCAGGGTAACAGCCAGCAGACATTCCCAGACCTGCCTTCAGCTTCCTCATAGCTGCAGAGACCTCTCTTTTAGGCCATCTTGTCTGCCATCATCATCATCAACCTCAAGGGCATGTTTAAGCAGTTCAGTGACCTCAGCACGCTCTGGAAGTCCAACCGGGTGGACCTGGTAAGGTGCTGATCAGCCCCAAGGCTGTGCTTTTGGCCCTGAAGAGGGTTTCTCCACCCTCCCTGAGGCTTGAGAGTGCCCTGGGGAGGCCGTGCTGCAGCTGACCGTGTCCCCTCTCCAGATGGTCTGGATTGTGACTTTTGTGGCCACCCTCCTGCTGAACTTGGACATTGGCCTGGCAGCCTCGGTGGCCTTTGGGCTGCTCACAGTCATCTTCCGCACCCAGCTGTGAGTACCCCGGGGTTGGGGCTGGTGCTGCATCCTGAGGGCAGGAGAAGCCCATGGTGACCTCAGCCCCTCGCTGTGTTCCCCGCAGCCCCCACTACTCCATCCTGGGGCGCATCTCCAACACCGATGTCTACAGGGATGTGGCGGAATATGAGATGGTAACAGCACCGGGTTGGGGGAAGAGCCACCTGCAATGAGGGGGGTGTTCCAATGCACCCCCAGTGGCTGTTCACTGAGGAAAGAGCTGGTGGCATTTTGGGGAAGGGAGGGAAAGAGAGCAGGTGGCTTAATCCCCAGGGGTAGTACCCTCCCCATCTGCCCCCCAGGCACAGGAGGTCCCTGGCGTGAAGATCTTCCGCTCCTCCTGCACCCTCTACTTTGCCAACGTGGAGCTGTACGCTGATGCCCTGAAGAAGAAGGTAGGAGAGTCACCAGCCCCACAGTGGTCCCCGTGTGCCCCTGCCTGCCAGCACCAGGATAGCAATGGGGCAGCTGGGGACACAAAGCTGCACTGCTCCGCAGAGCGGCATCAATGTGGACCGCCTGATTGAGAAGAAAAAGAAGGCCCTCAAGAAGCTGAAGAAACAACAGAAGAAAGCAGAGAAGGAAAAGGCAAAGAAGAAAAAGGTGCTTCCCTAACACAGGGGACTGCTCCGGTGCCACCCTGCATTGCCTCTTTGCCTGGCTCTGGCCCTACTGGCCATGCACTGGCCTGGCTCAGTGGCCCACAGGGTTCCCGGCTCAGTTTGGGGCCAAGGGGTGAGAAAGGCACTGGGACTGAACTGGGCCACATCGTCACACCCAAAGTCGGTCAGAAAAGCTGAGCTGTTAATGATTATGTGGTGGAACCAGAGAGTCATTAACCTTTTGGCAAGTTAATCAGAATTAAGAGCAAGAGCAAAGGCAGGCCTGGTGCCAGCTAATGAGACTGGTTCCAGAGAGCAGCACTGGGGAGAGGGGTGGGTCTTGACGTATCTGGAAAGAGCCCAAAAGTAGGTCAAGGTATGAGAGGGGCCCCTACTCCTGGGACCATGCACCATGCCCTGGTGCAGCCAAAGAGCCTCACCAAGCCACACTGCCCTGTAGGGCAGGGCGAGCCCAGGGGGCTCCAGACCCAAAGCAGTGACACCCTGTCTCCTTCCCTCCCCCAGAACGCAGAGGATGGTCCAGGCGTGGCAGTGATTGAACTGAATGCAGGGGAGAACAGTGTGCACTCGGAACCCACCCTGCGCAGCCTGGGGCTGCCCCAGCCTGGCTTCCACGCTATCATCTTGGACTTCAGCTCTGTCAACTTCGTGGATACCGTCTCCATCAAGATCCTGAAGAATGTAAGGGCCCAGGGCAGCAGGCAGGACAGCAGCCTCACCGAGGGTGTCTCCAAGGCCCTGTGGGGTGGCCCCATGGATGCTGTCCCTCCCTCCTCCTGTGTAAAATATTTTCTGCCATTTGCAGATCTTCAGGGATTTCCGTGAAATAGAAGTGGACGTCTTCATTGCCAGCTGCCCGGGTGAGGGGGATCTGCAGAGCCATGAGCCCCTGATGGGCATGGCCACCCTTCCTGCACACAGCTGCTGGCCTGGGGATCCCTCCATGGTGCTCCCATCCCCAGGGCTTCCCCAGGGGATGGGTGCTGCAGGTTGTCCCATGGATCCAATCTGAGCCTGGGTCCCTGGTGCTGATCCTGGTGTCCCCACGCAACACAGGAGGCGGGAGGCTGCTCCGGGCGGGGGTGGGGGACTTAGCTGGGTGCCATCACTTTAGATGCTTCTCCCTCCACACAGGGCCCGTGCTGGCCCAGCTGGAACGTGGCAACTTCTTCAGTTCAACCATCACCAAGCACTCCTTCTTCCCCTCTGTACACGATGCCGTGGAGCACATCAGCAGGGAGCGGCGCCAGGCCTCGGTGAGCACCTGGCCCCACCACCCCCATCACAGGTTGGGGGGAATGGAGGGGGCAGCCAAGCCAACCTCTCCCTGTCTGTCCCCCTTAGGTGGACCACAGCACCAGGATGTAGCCCTGCAAGAGGAAGATGTCTCCCCCAGGAACTGGGCGGGCGAGAAGGATTCTGCCACCCTGATGGCACCAACTCACCCATCCCTGGGCCTGAAGGCCCTGTACCCCCACCAGCCCCTCTGGACTCTGACCACCAGGGTCCTGCCCTGGCCGTGAACCCCTGGGATGGGGCTGCTGCTGGACGGAACTGCTGCTGGCCCTCACACCGAGGGGCCGCCTGGTGTCCCCGCTTGGTGCTCCTGCTCTGCCAACACGGGCCTGTCCCACTGGCCATGACGTGGTTTGGGGGGCAGTGGAGGGGTCAAGGGGGTCCCACTCCCAGCAGTGGGCTAGCATTGCCAATAAAGCATTATGGTGTTTCTTAGGGTTGGTTTCAATGCCCTTTCCTCAATAACAGTGCTCTCGGGACGGGCTGTCCGGCTGGCCCTCAGCACCACTGGGCATGACCACCCTGCAGGTGGGGTGCCCTGACACCCCGTGTCTCTGTTCTGCCCCTTCTCCCTGCAACTCCTTCAGGCCCATGGGGCTGCGGCCGAGGGAGTGGAACGAGCTGGTACCCCCTTTCCCCAGGATCCTCATTCCCAGGACCTCCATTCCCCATGACCCCTGTGCCCCAGGCCACCATCCTCCAGGATTCCCATCCCTGGGATCCCCATCCCCTGGGACCCCCACTCCCCTGAGGCTCCCATTCCCCAGGATCCCCATCCCCAGGATCCCTGTCTCACTGAGACCCCCATTCCCTAGGACCCTCATCCCCAGGGATCCCCATTCCTCTGAGACCCTCATTCCCCTGACACCCCCACCCACCGGGTCTGAGACACCCATTCCCCGGGACCCCCATTCCCCAGGGTCCCCCATCCTCCGGGACCCCCATTCCCCTGAGACCCTCATCCCGTGGGACCTCCATCCCCTGGAACCCCCATTCCCCAGGGACCCCCATCCCCCGAGACCCCTATTCCTAAGGGACCCCCATCCCCAGGACTCCCACCCCCAGGACCCCCATTTCCAGGACCCCATCTCCCAGGACCCCTATTCCTAAGGAACTCCCATTTCCCAGGACTCCCATCCCCGGGACCCCTATTCCTAAGGGACCCCCATCCCGGGACGCCCATGCCCTCCCGCCACCAGAGGGCGCCCCCGCCGCCCGCCCGTGCCGCCCCAGCCGCCCGGCCCGCCCTCCGCGCAGGCGCAGCTCGGTGGGTCGGTCGGCCGGGGCAGGGACAAGATGGCGGCGCGCTCGGTGTGCCGGGCGGGCAGCGCGGCCGGGCGGGCGCTGCTGTGGGGGCCGCGCCCCTCCGTGAGTCACCGCGCCCTCCGCGGGCAGCGCCGGCGGGGGGAGTTCGGGCGGGGCGCGGGCGACCCCGTGGGAAGGTGGTGCTACCGCCGGGCCCAGCCTGCGCAGCGGCCGGGAAGGTCACGGGGACGCGGCGGGCGGCGCGGGGCGGGCGGCGGTGTCCGTGAGACCCCGGGGCGGGAGCGGGGCTGGGCGGGCGGGGGTGGTGGCGGCTGTCGCTGTCACCCGGTGCGGGGCTTTCCGGGGGCCCGCCGCCCGCTCCCTGCCCGGTGCCGGTGTGACTGGTCCGCATGGCTCGTCCCTGGGGTTTTCCTCCTGCTCCGAACCTCTGGCGCCGCGGCGGGTCCTCGGCCCCGCCGAGGGGAGCTGCTGGCCGGTGGTCGTGACAGCCTTTGTCTTTTCAGGCAGCTGTATTGACTTTGACAAGGAAGCGAGGTGCTGCCACCTATGCCCAGACACTCCAAAATATCCCCGAGACCGAGGTCACCACCCTGGAGAACGGGCTCCGTGTGGCCTCAGAGGAGTCCAGGCAGCCAACCTGCACCGTAAGTTTAGGATAGGTTGAGGGCTTGCTTGAAGCCTATATCTGGTCTCCGAAAAGTGACAGACCCAGTCTGAACCAAAGCTTTTGGCAGAGTCCCCACTGCTTCTCTCTGTGAACTGGTGTGATCAATTAACTAATTAACTAACAGCAGAAGGCCCAGCCTAGTGTTGTCTTAAGTCTGTAGTCAAGCTTTCATGCTCTACAAGTTTTCTTAGCCTTGCAATTTTGCGTGAGCAATAAGTGATCGGTAGGAGTTCTCTCTCTGGCAAAACCAGCTTTGGTGAGGCTGACAGATAAAAAGCCAAAACGTGTGCGGGAAATAGTTGCTGGTGTTTGCTCTTACTTTGATGCTACTGGTGTCAAGTGTGGGTAGCAGACTTCTTGTCCCTACTGTTTTGTTTATGGCACGAGGATGCTGATTGTTTTCTTCTCTGCTGTTGTCACTCCCTGTTTCTGCTGCCAGGTGGGAGTGTGGATCGGGGCCGGGAGCCGCTATGAAAATGCCAAGAACAACGGGGCTGGTTTCTTTGTGGAACACCTGGCCTTTAAGGTAAGGAGGTGTGCTGGGTCTGCACAGAACTGCTCTGAATACTGAATGTTGTTATTTTCCTTGCTTTAATTCTTCGGGGGGGTGTGGGGGGTGTGGAAAGTTATTCATTTCGTGATTGAGTTTATCTGTTTCCTTTTAGGGCACAAAGAATCGTCCTGGCTCTGCCTTTGAGAAGGAAGTGGAGAGTCTGGGTGCTCACCTGAATGGGTACACATCCCGTGAGCAGACTGCCTTCTACATAAAAGCCTTGTCTAAGGACATGCCCAAAGGTAGGATGGCCAGGGGGCAAAGTCTGATTGGGAGCTTCAGCAAGCGCATGTGCTTGTGTTTCTCTCCCCCAAGCATCCTTTCTGTCAACCAGGGATTGAAGCTGTAGCTGAACAGTAAGTTGGAGGTTCTGGTTGGTAGTTAAAGAGAGAAGTGCAGTGACATGGTGCTTCAGCGCTGCAAGTTCGTGTGTTCCTAAACAAAGAGCTTTAGTTGTGTCAGGCTGGACTGTATTGCCAGGAGGGAGGATGGGGGGATTCAGGAGTCTGGTTGTTTTATGGAGCTGGGAAACTGAGGTCAGGAACAGCTGCTGTGTGAGGAGTCCTCATTGCAGCTCTTGTGGATGCTGCTTGTGCTCTGCTGCCATGTGCAGAATCCTCTGGGTTGGTTTTGGCCAGAGGTGATGATGAGTCAGGGCTATGGGCCTTACTGTAGATATGGGGTATCACAGACTCTGTGTAAGGATTCAGTGTGTTTCTGGAGCAGTACCCTGCTTCTGACATGCTTCACCTTCTGCAGATGTTGCCTGCTTCCCACTGGCAGTGATGAGCTGACTTGGAGGCTCTTGCTAAACCGGTGTTGTTTGTGCTGTGGGAACGGGCAGCACTCAGCCCTTTTATGTTGCATCCCCTCCCCAGCGTGGTTTGTTGCTCACTCCTCCTGTGTGTCTCTTCTCCTTTCAGCAACAGTGGGTGGCAGTCAGGCAGTGGGATGCTAACATGGGAATTGTGTTGCAGTTGTAGAACTCCTGGCTGACATTGTGCAGAACTGCGCGCTGGAGGACTCTCAGATCGAGAAGGAACGTGGCGTCATCCTTCAGGAGCTGAAAGAAATGGACAGCAACCTGATGGATGTCACCTTTGATTACCTTCATGCCACTGCTTTCCAGGGCACTCCGCTGGCCCACACTGTTGAGGGGACCACAGAGAACATCAAGTGAGCAACAGGCTGGATGCAGGGCACAGCCCAGGGGTTCAGTCTGTGGGGTGCATGACTGCTGCTGGTTGGTTGTGGTGACTGCACGAGGAAACCAGTGTGTGCATGGAGGTGATCTGTGCCCGTGGGGCTCTCCTTGTGCCCTGTGTTTTCCTTGTTGAAGCTGGTGAAAGCATAATGCTGCACACATTCCTTAGAACCCCCTAGTGCAAGACTTGAGGTTGGAAGGGACAGGATGAACTTTCTCCCATGCTTGTCAATTGTTAGAGAAATTGAGAGCTAGGGTGATCATTGAAGCAGCGGCCTTGCGTTAGGTCAGTGACTGGGCTCAGTACTTTCCAATCTGCATTGAATTTTATCCTTAACTCTTCATCTTAGCTGCTGGTTCCCGCTCTTCGTGTTCTAGAATTAGAGCACAGGGAAAACACAGTGCACAGTCTTGTTTCTAAAAAGTATTGTTACCCCACAACAAACAGAATCACTGCTGTCTCTGCACTGCAAACTTGATTGTCCTAAGCCTCTCATTCCTCCAGATCAGAGATGCTGATGTGCCAGGTCTCTGTGTTCTCTCTAGGCGGCTGACTCGAGCAGATCTGGCTTCATATGTTGATACTCACTTCAAGGCACCCCGCATGGTCCTGGCAGCTGCTGGAGGTAAAGTTCTAGATCCTTGTGGTTCTGGGAAGCCTGATATTTTCAACTGATGATCAAACCCCTGTCACACATCTCTAATGTAAAATCAGATCGTTTTGTTAAAGTACTCCAGGACTGCAAGTCTCTCTTTGCTGTTGCCAGGTATTTCGCACAAAGAGCTGGTAGATGCAGCTAAGCAACACTTCAGTGGAGTGTCTGTCAAGTACAAAGAGGATGCTGTGCCTATCCTCCCGCATTGTCGCTTCACAGGGAGTGAGGTAAAGTTGTTTTGGTCCCCATCAAAACAAGCAGGTGTTGCCCAGCTGTTGAATGAATGTGAAACCAATTACAGCTGCTGCTGAGAGGAAAAATCTGTGTATCTCGGAGAAGCTGATGATGCGGCATCTTGGTAGTGCTCCCATGTTCTGTTCTTGGGGCTTATTGCCACGTGTTGGGTTTTAGATGGGACCCACATCCGTTAGGAATGAGAGGCTGTTGCTCACATCATCTGCTGGAAAACTCACATCAGAGCAGTTTGTGCTCAGTAGTGCCTGAGACTCTTTCATTTCACTGGAGTCACATCAAGTACCCTGCTTTGTCAGCCTGGTGTTGCAGCAGGCTGCGGGCAAGTCACAGTGCTCATGCTGTTCTCCTCCACTCCT